CAGGACACTGCACAGACCTGTTAGTTTTTAGGGTAATATCAGTACATATTAATTACCTAATTTGCATAATTAATTAATTTTCAGCTTTTGATATTTGAAGTAGTTATCACATTTTAATAAAACTTGGTACATAAATGTCATAGGACACTGCACAGACCTGATAGTTTTTAGGGTAATATCAGTACATATTAATTACCTAATTTGCATAATTAATTAATTTTCAGCTTTTGATATTTCAAGTAGTAATCCTCACATTTCAATGAAACTTGGTACATAGTTACTCAAAGACTGTGCAGAGACCTGATTAGTTTTAGGGTAAATATTTGTGCTTATTAATTAACTTATGAGCATAATTAGTTAATTTTGTCCATGAATGTTCCACTGATATACATGTATAAAGAACCACCAATTGGATTTTGAATGAAACTTTTAAAGAGTACTCATCATCACATTTCAATGAACATAGGACTATGCAGAGACCTAATTAGTTTTTGGTAAATATTTATGCTTATTAATCACCTGATTAACATAATTTAATTAACACTGACAATAGACAGGCCCGATTAATTTTGGGTTGAAATTTGTTAATATTAATTCTCTAATAATATTTCATAGTTTTTTTGTTCTAGTCAAATTTCAATGAAACTTGGTACATAGATATTACATCACGCAGACCTTATTAGTTTTACACTCAAATTTGTTCATACATGTATTAGTTACCTGATTTACATAATTAGTTTTCAGTTTTCCATCAATATCTCAAATACAAGTAATTTTGAATTAATTTTTAATGTGTCTTCAATACTCTCAGCACACGGGAATTCTTTCTAAGCTTTCTTTGATTTAATAATTGTTTTTCCTTGACTAAATTGAAGTGTATTGCACCTTTGAATGAGTATAGAATGTGTCAGTAAATTGTTAAATATAAGAGAGGTAGTTTGGTCACAAATGCCCAATTAGTGAGAGCCTTTTTTGGCGTAGCTATACAAGTGCGACCTACTAACTTTAATATAGGTTTGAGTGTACTAGTACAGTATGTGGAACCAGAATGAACAGGTCTTAAACAAGTTTACTTCCACATAGCATTTCGCCAAACCTATATTCTAGTAACTATTGCATTTCTTACAGTAGTACATGTAAGCATAGTACCGGGTATTAATTCACGTGTCAAACAAATTGTTGCTGTTGCCAACAATACAGTTTGTACCTAATTTGTCTTCATTTCATAGTCTCAAAATGACATTGACAAGGAGTTTAATAATTTTCTATTCATATTTTTTTTAGAACTCAACTGTGTCCATGAGTTACCTTAAAATTACAACTCAGAAGATTTCAAGAAGACTTGTCATTTTAGGAGTCCACAAAAGAAATCAAAATTTGCCCCACTATTATGACCATATCAATGAGGGGGAGTCCCCAAGGACAGGGTAGTGGAGATGGCTCACCTGACCAAACCCAGGCCACTGGTCAGCCTCCTGTTCAGAATCCTCTACAGCAAACAGCTCAGCCTCAGCAGCCTCCAGTATCACAATCGCCAACAACTACCCAACAACCATCCACATCACAAGATCAGCAAACTCCTCAGGAACAACCACAATCTAAACATGTGAGTCCTAACAGTATTATACCTTTTCATCTCAATTGTGCTGTGACTGTGTGTATTACACACTAAAAATATAAATGTATCTTTTTCAGGATGATGCTGGGGATGTAGATGAAATTACTACTGAATTAACAGATGACCAAGAGCCTGATTTTCCTCATAATGAGTTAGCCAAGCTTGAAGATATGATAAATCGCCCAAGATGGGTTGTACCTGTTTTACCAAAAGGAGAACTGGAAATGCTGCTTGATGCATCAATTGATCTATGTAAAAAAGGTATTGATTTCAAAAAGATTAAATTTAAAGATGCATATGAAAGTTATTCACGGTCTGAACTCACCATGCCAGTCATTCCTTTCTGACTGGTTCAGGTTTTGTTTACTATTGCATGATGAGGACTTTCTCTTATCTGTGATTGGGACAGTAACTGGAAATAATTTCTCTACAGGGCTTGATGTTCGAAGTGAAGCATGTCAGAGATTTTTTCGAGATGGTCTCACCACTTCATTTACAAAAATTCTTACTGATGAAGCTGTTAGTGGATGGAAGTTTGAAATTCATGTAAGTATTGCCAAATTCAGGTTTGATATAAGATAAGGTAATTCTTTATTACAACCTTATAGAATGAATTACATATCTGTTTTGGTTTATAAAATGTAATATAGTTTTAAATATGTTGTGATAGAATGTCTGATATGGTGTATTGCTTGTATGGTGGAGGGAGATGACATTTACTATGTGGAGCATTTATAATTTTATTTTATGAACAGTTTAAAACATTGAGTTACCATACTGAGTAGCAACCAAACTCCACTTCCACTGCTGTTTTTTCACCCTATTGATTATGATTACATGAATCTACACTACCTAAATGATAAACTGCGACCATTGTTTGCCTAAATACACAAATAATCATTTAAGGTAGCAATTCACGTTCGTGGCTAAGGTTTGTTTGTTTTTCTTGCATTTTCTTATTAATGTGTATCGAACTATCAAAATAATAGTTTAAATTACAGAAAGAAATTGCGTTTAAAAAATTTGAGAAAAATATGAAAAAGAATTACATGATATGTCTCAGGATCTATCGACTTTGTTGTACTGTTTGCGCATGCGCAAACCAATATATATGAACAGGATCACAGGATTTTGAGTATGACATTCAGTTGCACTCCAGTATTTGAAGTGAAGCATTGCTGTTTACAATGCCTGGCAAATTCCGAAAGCGAAAACATGGTAGATCAAAGAAGAAGATACCAATGTCAAAAGAGGCAGCCCTAAAACCTAAAACTCTATGTTTTGATTATTGGTTGCATCATTGCAGTCTCTTTGGAGAGAAAAAAAAGGCCAATCGAAAACTAAGGTGTCTGTCTCTGAATGACTAAAACTTTAACAACTGTATAATTGATTCTTTTATTTTGCCATATGACCAGGTTCAAGTTGGCCTAGGTCACATTGTACGAACACGCAAGTAGCAAATAGCAAATTCCCTCGATTTGAGCATTTTAAAACTAAATATCCTTACAAAAAGAACTGTAAAGGTAATAGGGAATAATATCAATGACCTTTGCAAAAATCAATATTCTCAGTGAAATTGTTTTCTCAAATTTTATTTTCAACCACTTTGACTAACTTTGAACCACTGTAAATAAAGAGTGGGTCAGTTGATTCGTTTGAAATTTTAACATTTTGTTCAAATGAGCCTCGCGCAAAGGAATGTGTCTGCGCTTTTTAAAAAAATTATTTTGTCACTAGTTATTCACGTTAGAGTATCGAAAATGCGCGTTTTAAAAAAAAATAAAAGAATAACCTAAAAATAAATTGTGAAATAAACAGTCAGCTGCTCATACACCGTCAAACACATTCACATGCACAAAGTAAAGCCCCATTGTTTAAATCCCTAGTTATTCACTACACTGGGGGAGGTGTTTGGGGGAAAATACTTTTGAATATGAAATAGCAGAAAATTCACTACAGAAATTTGTGCAGTCTGTATTTCTTTTTCTTTGTTACATGGTTTTATAAGTCTTGAATAATTAGTTTTGAAGCAAGCAAATAACACCGAATAAAGGGCAAGGTAAAGACTATGTCTAATTATTATATAGTAAATACGTACTGCGTGCGTG